TTCAGTGTCCTTGGAGTCCTCCTGAGAGGACTGAGAACCTCAGGCCTTGAGCAAGCGGGTCTTCAGCTCTGCCCTATCCCTGCCCCCAGAGCAGAGGTGATTCAGGTACAGACACCTGAAATGACTCGATGCCCCCAGGGCAAAGTCACCACAAACGGGGCAGCTGCACAGCACTGAGGGCAGGGCTGGGCTCGAGAGCAAATGTGAGACTAGTAAACCTGCCAGACTTCCTCTTCCCAGATGGAGAGGTTAAAAATACGACATATGTCAGTCCTTTCTTACGTTCCGTTCCGGAAACACTAAAGGCCCGCTTCACCAAGCCCACAACAAAGAAATGGACGGAGGAGCAAATCCAAAAGGCCGAGCTAAGAAGGGACAATAGTTTCACATCCTGTTTGCGGGAGGAAATGGGAGCTGGAAGCAGCGGCTCCCCAGGGACTCCTTTGAGCTTGAAAGGTTTGCCTTTCCTTCCTTGTAAACACGGCCAGGTCTCCCGTAGATTCTAGAGCTCCCTCACGCCTTCCACCCCCAGTTGTTTTTCTAACAACCCGAGACGAAGTCGCACTTGAGAGCAGTGGCTCTTTGCCAGCTCCCGGTGGCTTTAGGAAGGATGTGAGGAGGGGAGGGAGCTTAAGAGGCACTTTCATCCCTCTCAGATATTAGATCCCATGCCCAAGGCCCAAGGACTGATTCTGGGCTGGTTTTCTGTGGCTGCAAATTATTTACATTTGGCTTTTTTCCTTTAATAGTTCATAGAGACAAATGACAATAACAAAACGAGTGGAAACAACCTAAATGTCCAGAAATTCAGAAATGGTTTAAAATATCACGGTGCATCTGCACAAGAAAAAAGCCCTGCAGGTGTTAACAATTCATGGCCTAGTTTTGTAAGTGCTGACATTGAAACTTCTTTGGCACGACGCTAAGGGGAAAAAAAGCAAACTTCAGAGCACCGTGATCTCACTTTTGGTTTCAAAACAGGCAAAAAAATTCCTTATTAGAACCATGTTTGGATCCTGATTGGAGGAAACCATTTGTAAAGTGCTATTTAAGAGACAGGAGAAATTTGAATACAAACTGGGTAATAGATGAAACCAAAGATATGGGTCTTTAAAAAATGTTTTAAGAAATGTTTTTGTTAAATGTGACAAGATATTATGGTACTGTCTTGTAAGAAAACGTCCATATTCTTAAAAGACGCACAATGAAGAATGTAGGGGTGAACTGATATGATTTGGGGATTTATTTTAAAATAATTCAGAGGAAGGCCGGGCGCTGTGGCTCACGCCTGTAATCCTAGCTCTTGGGAGGCCGAGGCGGGCGGATTGCTCAAGGTCAGGAGTTCAAAACCAGCCTGAGCAAGAGCGAGACCCCGTCTCTACTATAAATAGAAAGAAATTAATTGGCCAACTGATATATATATAAAAAAAAAATTAGCCGGGGCATGGTGGCGCATGCCTGTAGTCCCAGCTACCTGGGAGGCTGAGGCAGAAGGATCGCTCGAGCCCAGGAGTTTGAGGTTGCTGTGAGCTAGGCTGACGCCACGGCACTCACTCTAGCCTGGGCAACAAAGCGAGACTCTGTCTCAAAAAAAAATAATAATAATAATTCAGAGGAGAGGAAAAGAAGAAAGCGCTGGATGAAATAATTATTGAAAATGGGTATATGGAGGTTGATTTTAGCATTCTCTTTTGTATACATCTGAATTTTTCTTTTTTTTTGCCATGACAACAATTTAGTAAAAATTAGAAAATCCAATCAATCAACCAATCAGTAATCCTTTCATTTCCAAAAGGATTCCAACAACTTATTGGGAAAAATATGATTTATTCTTTTACTGTCTTGAACAGACAACCAGAACTTTTTCAGCAACTTCCAGTATGATGATATAAATAATTGAAGCAAACAATTACCTTTAAGTTTCCTATTTAACTGGATATCTCAAACAAAACCGTTAGTGTTCCTGAAGCAAGTTAATCCCATGTTCTGAAATCCCCACATCACTTGATACCTCTGGGCAATTTAAGTTGCTGTCATAGTTCAAGCCCATTATACAAATGGAAATCATACCTGCAGTAACAGATGAACTTCTAGCACATTCGAGAATCCAGCTTCCCCAGCACTGATCAACAAGGGTATGAGAATGATATAGGCTGTGTGTGTGTGTGCTGTAACTCCTGTCATGTAGTTTTGTTGCACTGAGCCAGTCATATACTCTTATTCTCATTCCTTTTGGGCAACAGTATGAATTTGTAAAATGGTTTTTGTGAAGTCAGAGTTAAGTTTGTGGTTGGCATGATGAATCTCTCTGTTGCCACGGCCAGGATGTTTGTCTACCTACGTTCTCTATCTATTATTCTATCATTGGAAACAATTGAGACAGATTACACAGCTAAATATAATTCAAGATATATATAAAGCTATGAGTAAGCTTAATGTGCAACGTGTATATGACAATCTCTGTATGGGGGTAGGAAATGACCCACAAATTTGGCTTTAACATACACAGTAGCAAAAGCAAATGGGCAAATACAACCAGTGACCAGAGTCAACGTGCACAAGAGTACTATGAAACAAAAATTTTCACGAGAAAGTTTTCTTGGTATTAAATCCAGAGAGAAATTTGTGGTATTGGCCTTTATGAAATTGGAAAATGATAGAGAAGGATGTTTTCAAAAGCATCATGGCAGTCAAGTACAGCAAGTAGTTTCATGGGACTCTTTGATGACATACTTCAATGCAGGCTGATAGAATTACATCAAAGGGTAATTTCACTAACGCCATTCTACAAAAAGACAGAACATATTGAAGTTTTTCATATAACAAAATCTTGAAGCTGGGCAGTGGTGCACACCCATAGTCTCGGCTACTTCGGGGGCTGAGGTGGGAGGCTCGACTGAGCTCAGGTGTTTGAAGTTACAGGGAGCTATGACTGCACCTGTGAATAGCCACTGCCCTCCAGCCTGGGCAACAGAGCGAGACCTCTGTCTCTTAAAAAAAAAAAAATCTTGAATACACAGGAAATGCAGGGAGGAATCCACCATGAAAGCAGAAGGTTGCTTCCTTCCTACCACGACCTCTACCAAAGCTACATAATGCCACTTCCCACCCTAAACAGTTGGGAGGATTAAGTCAGGGGTTCACAAATCTAGTTAGCATCAGATTCACCCAGAGGGGTCAGAAGGAGCCAGTCGGAGTTAGAAGGAGTCTCTGAGGTTTCATCTCAAACACTGCCCACCTCACCTCCCGCAGGGCCCTACGCCTCCCTCATAAACAGTCAGTATGTATTTGGTTGGTGCATTTTCCATGTAGCTTGGAAACCTTAGAGGCCCAGCAGAAGGATGCTCTCCAACACTTAGTTCTAGTCGGAAGGAACTGAAGGCGATGCAACCCGCAAGATTTCATCACCGCTGCCCTTGTGTGCTGTGGGAAGCATCTCTGTTGTTTTTGCCACCTCACACACGATGGATGCCGTTCACATGTGAGAATCCCTCCCAGGGAGGGGCATTGCCATCAGCTGTAACTCTCTCACCCCTATTCAAGAAAGCACAACATTATGCAAGCCAGGGGGGCTCGCTGTGAATCCACGGTAACATAAAATTAATAAACCACTGGAAAACTTCAAAGCTTTATTAGTAACGTGTTATTTGTGACAGAGCTCTCAACACATTAAGTAACCACACTGTCTTCTAAACTAACGTTTAAGAGCCCCAGACATCTGCAGCTACTGTAACCCTCATGTCACCCCACCCAGCTTCCAAGGAACAGGGAGAAAACTGCAATGGCATTTCTGATGCACAGCATATTTTTTCGAGTAAGGAAGACGTTAAGTTCTTCCCTTTGGTGTGAGAGGCCACAGGGCTTAGTGGTTAAGCACAAGGCTTGGGATCAAACAGCCCCAGCCCCACTCCTGTACCTTATTAGCTAAGCGACACTGGGCAAACTATATAATCTAAGCCTGCCATTGTCTTTCTAAAAGTGGGTTTAAGATTAGGACAACCAGTATTAACTCAACAGTGCTATAGTAGAGCAAGAAATGCAAAGTGCCTGGCACACAATCACTACTTAGCATTGATAATTATTAGTTGTTCCTGTTATGTCACCTTCGGTCACACCCACTCTGTAGCAAGCTCCTTGAGGAGCCTTGTCCTGTTTTGTTTCTGTATGCTTAGCATACCCACCGTCATCCGGCTGTCCAGCCTAAATGTACTGAGCAGCTGCTCGGTGCCAGGCACTGTTCTACACGCTGCAGATAGAGCAGGGGACAGCAGCGGAGACCCGGCCTCCTGGTGCTTAGGTTCTAGTGGGGAAAACAGACGAGCAAATACACAGTGGGACCGAAGAGAAAAACAGAGCAGGATTCAGCTGGGTAGAGAGAGCCCGGGTGGGGGCGTGGCTGCTCTCTTATATGTCCCAGGAGGTCTCTCTGAGAAGGTGATATTTGAACAGAGGTTTAAAGGAGGCGAGGGCAAACCACGAGTATCTGCAGCAGGCATGTTTCTGGCACAAAGGCCCTGAAGCAGGCGCACGGATGGCGTTTTTGAAGAAAAAGGAGGCTGGTGTGGCTGCAGTGGTGTGAACGAAAAGGCTATTATTTATCTCTTTTCTATCCGATTAAAAATAAGCACAAGGCCAGGCACGGTGGCTCACGCCTGTAATCCTAGCACTCTGGGAGGCCGAGGCGGGTGGATTGCTCAAGGTCAGGAGTTCGAAATCAGCCTGAGCAAGATCAAGACCCTGTCTCTACTATAAATAGAAAGAAATTAATTGGCCAACTAATATATAGAGAAAATATTAGCCGGGCATGGTGACGCATGCCTGTAGTCCCAGCTACTCGGGAGGCTGAGGCAGCAGGATTGCTTGAGCCCAGGAGTTGGAGGTTGCTGTGAGGTAGGCTGACGCCATGGCATTCACTCTAGCCTGGGCAACAAAGCCAGACTCTGCCTCCCCCCCAAAAAAAAATAATAAAATAAAAAAAAATAAGCACACAACACAATTCAGAAGTTGAAAAAGATGTATTAAAATATTCACAAGAATACAATTGAAAAGTAAGATCAAAAAAACCAATAATGCGCTTGATGGTTTTTCCCCAGCTGAATACATTTCCATCAAAAAACTACAGATGGTTTGGAATTTTAATCTCTAAGCAATCCCATTTTGGTGCCCCCTTACAAAATTCACCTGTAATTTTAAGAGGTCTCATTCTGCCACTAAGAAGACAGGGGAGAGGGCAGGTGTGCCACGTGGAGGCCACACTGCTGTTGCTATCTGCAACCGGCCGGGGATGCTGAGCACGGGAAAACGGGCCCCAAATCCAAAGTGTGCGGAGGTTACAAAGGCCCTGCCCTGAGTTGCCCTACCCAGGTGCGAGCACCTTCCTTCAGGCAGCCTCAAGACCCGGAGAGCGAGGCTCGTGGAGGACTGGCCTTGCCCGGGCAGTAAGGTTGGCCTTGCTCGGCAGTGAGCCGAGGGGATGCTTCGCCAGAAGGCAGAGTCCTGACAGTGGGAGGTGGGCGGCTGGGGGCTCGGGAAGGAGGCAGTGAGGGAGGAGAGGCCTACAGGGGTCATTCGAGCGAGTGCTCCTGGGGGCACTCGTGGTCCCAGCACCAAAAGCAGAAATCAGGGCTCTTGCTATCAGGAGTATCAGGAATGTGCAGTTTATTCACAGGAACTGTTGAGAAATGCAAAAATGGCTGGAAGGAGGCATGACACACACAAAAGAACACACTTGGTCTCTCAAAGATTTGGGTCCTTTCTACCTCGGGCACAGAACAGTGACAATCCCAACACCGCTCCCCTCCTAACACAAGAGGTCTTCCAGAGGCTCCTGAAGTTTTAGGATGCGAGTCAGATTTGGCCACTTTGTGGGAAAGTCTCAGGGCCAGCGCTCTGTGTCACTCTCGAGCGGGGCCTATGAACAGCAGAGCAGTCAGGTTTTGCTCCATCCCACACAGGTCAACCAGATGCTGCCCGGCTCCAGAAGATGGCACGTGTGTGTGTGTGTGTGTGTGTGTGTGTGTGTGGTAAACCCTGACCTTGTTTACTCACACAGACATGGGGTGTAGCAGGAGCATGATGAGAATAAGAAAAATAGTTACTTAGAAAACAAAAGGCCTCATGTATGGGAGTGAGTTTTGAAGCGCATATGTCCTTTATCTTACCACCTCACGCACACCTTTAAATCTAAATCCTGCTTTATTTCCTTTAGGAATGCTGTTAGAATTTAGCCTGCAAACGCCCCAAAAAGATGGCAAGACAGGAAGGAAAGAGAACCTCAAACTAAATGGGAAAAAAATTAACATTACCCCTCATTCCCACTTACCCCAGACATGTTCTGCAAACCAGCTAGACAGTATTCTTCCCATAAATGTAGGCTTTCAGATGATTTTAAAAAGAAAAAAAATTTTTAAACGAAATAATTGAGAAAATGGGAGAATGACAATATACATGTTTAACAATCTTCACCAAGCTTTTTATTTCCAGTAAAAAATAAAAACTCAGATTGAGGTGGGGTGGGCATGGTTTATGGGAGAAAATGAGTTTTGGAGAAAGATACCCCAAATTGTGTATATTTTAAGATACCCCAAATTATCTATATTTTCCCTCATCTCATTGTTTATCAATTCCATGTAACTGGGGTGGGGGACGGGGTGGTGAAAACCAAAACAACAACAGAAAGAAACAGGGACTCTCAAAGCAATAACACTAGGCCTACCTGATTTTAAAAAAACACAGACCATCTTTAACTTCAGAGGTCTTTGATGAACCACGAAGCTATCCATAATGCCATGAATGATGCTGCCTCTTGCTGGAAGCATAACTGAAGCTTTACATAGAAGGTACTCTTGCTGGGTACAGAGGTACGAGCTTGCAGTCCCAGGTACTTGGGAGGCCAAGGCAGACGACTGCGTGAGCCCAGGAGTTTGAGGCCAGCCTGGGCAGTATAGTGAAGCCTCATCTCAAAAAAATTAGTAATTAAAAAAAATTAAAAGTGGAAAAAGGTGGTTCTCCAGAGAGAGCTGTGGGCTACTGGAGAATGGCAATATAACGATCCCATTTCTGACTACTTACAAGGCAAGAAACTCCCCTACTCCAGCTGTATAGGGACTCTTATTTCAAGCAGGAGGGACTTCAGCAACTGATACCTTTTACTCTCCATATGGTACAATATTCCTTAAGCAAAGTCTGGATTTTCTACTTTATCTCTATGGTATTGATCTACACGTACCTAGAAGGAAGTGACCTTGGCATTTGTCCCTTGCTAATCTTACTATTATCAATCCACAAGTTGATATGTTATACTTAAAGGGTGTAAAGTTAAAGTAAGTCTATACAACATATAAAGCTAAAAACTGTCCCATATTTTAGAGAGAAAAACATCAACAAAAACTTCAAACTGTCTTCAACGGCACCGTCAAAGGATGTTTTCTCAAAGCTGCAACCAAGTAACTGGTGCTGACACCATTAAAGGCCACCCTGGACATGCATCCATCATTGTATCTCCATTCTCCAACTACAATAAATGCTAAGATTGATTAAGCCCTTTGACAAAAAGGCCATGTCTATTGGAAATACTAAAAGATCTGCTACTGTCTCCATTAAGGCAAACCATTTCTAAATGATGGTGACAGGAATGTTTCCGAAATTTCCCAATTGTAAATGACCCTGAAAAGGAAGTACAAAGACAGCAAGACAATTTACATATACATAGAACCATACCATCTTTCCATCATGCAACATTGGCTCTTCGCATCAAGATTAAATAGAATATTTATACACATCCTTTATACACATCTTTTTCTATCTCTATGAGTACACATGTGCTTGTCCTTGCCTGGGTATCCAAGGCCACATGTGGTTATGGGCTACATTTTCTGCATAAGAATCCATTTGGATCTGTTTTTTTCTCTGGATATGTTCTGGGTCTTAGTTTTTCCGGATGTCTGCAAGGCCACATGTGGTTATGGGCTATATTTTCTGCATAAGAATCCAGTTTGGATTTGTTTTTTCTCTGGATATGTTCTGGGTCTTAGTTTTTCCGGATGTCTGCATACACCACAGACTCTGACTTGTTAATCTTGTCACTGTGATGTCCGCCAGAGTGGTCTAATTGTGCATATATGACTGGGCCCTGGAAAAGAGAAGTACAAGAATTAGAGGTTTGCAAAAGCTGGTGTTCCCTTCACACCAGGCACGGAAGCCAAAATTAAAGGGGTAACATTAGGGTTTCAAAGCCAAGAGTTCCCTCTTTTGAATGTCTTCAAGACAAAATTTCTATAACAACAAAGTATTTTTTCTTAGGAATACCCCTTCATATCTGACACAAAATTGCTCAGTGCTTACCGTTGGGATCAGAGCCTTAAGGACTAAGATGGGCATGTCTACCAACTGAGACCCACGGAAGTTATGAGCTTCAGGATGATCCATGCAAGAAACCAACATATTTGGGGCTACCCAAAGACACAATCAATTTGATCCAGTCACCTTATACAAATAGGTACTTAAAAACATTTCAGCGTTCTTCAATACAACTATTTATAGTACAATTCTTTTAGTCTGATCCTACCATGACCAATAAAAGTATTGCTTCTTTGATCTCTAATATCAGATAACTGTTCTTCCTGTTTTGAAATAAAATTTAAAAGAAAAAAACCCAAAAAGCCACAATTTATAAAGAAAAACTCCAGATTGCCTAAAGTAGAAAAGATCTTCTTCTTAGCCTCGGCAGTAAGGAAGAGGTTAAAGTCCTAGAAAACTGTCAGGGTCCAATCCTGGAAAGCAAAGAAGACTGGGCTGCCTGGGGGCACACTGAATTCCCAAGAATGGGGAGGTGACACAGGCTGAATTTTCAGCCCCTTCCAACCTAGGGATTCTAAAATTGTAAACAATACCCACAAAACAGCCCTAATTTTAAAAGAAATATTTAATATTACTCAAAGTCAACTTTTCCCCCACTGTAGGGGAACTGTCTTTGAGAAGTCTAATAGTGTGCTTAAACTTTCAACTTTGAAATCGTAAGCTCAGTAGCCAAAAGCATGTGGTCTAAAACAAATACCCTCACCCAAACCTAGGAGCCCAATAACCTGCATCCTTTAGTGCTGCGCTCCCCAACCACTGGTCCGAGGCCTGTTAGGGACAGGGCAGCAGAACTCCATCCCCCCTTCTCCCACCCGTAGGAAGAATGAAACTAAGGAAAGTCCTGTGGCAGGGGGCAGCACACAGTCATGGCAGCGAGGGACAGGGGATGCTGCATCTGTATTTACTGCTGCTCGCATCATGGCCTGAGCTCCACCTCCCTGCCCCCCACCCCCATCTGGGGAAAGATTGTCTTCCATGAAAACGGTCTCTGGTACCAAAAAGGTTGGGGACTGCCGCCTTAGTGCATAACCTGGGATTCTGGAGCTCAGGCACTTCAACTCCTGTCTACAGAAGAAGACAGACCCAGCTGTAAGGGCTACACAATGGTGCATCTAAAAGTGGAGTTATAAAATCAAACAACACTCATGTCCATGCACTTGGGCAGATCTGCAGTTGGAATTTATGAGATAGTCTTTGCTGAGCCTGGTAGAGATGAGCACTCGTCATGGGGCCTTGAGCTTATTTGTAAACCTCTACACTTAAGTTTCTTCATCTCTCAAATGGTACTAATAAGATCTATACCTTTTACTGTTGTTATGAGAATTAAATTGAGATAATACCTATAAATAGCTTAGGCGGTGTCTGACAGTTAACACTCAATCCATATTAGTTATTATTATAAACTTCTCGTTACACAATAACACTGTATAATACACTGAGTTAACTGATCAAGTAAATCAAATACTCAAACTCCATGCTTGTCTTCAGTCTATAAATGATACTCTCTAATGGCTGTCATGGGTAACATTAACAGATGACACTGTTTTTATTAAAGCTGTAAGTTAAAAACTCAAAAGGGAACAAAAAGAATTTAAAAACAAATAAAACCATTTTCTACTACTTAAGAACAGAATGGAAACAAAGTATTCCCTGGTCACAGCCACTTCCAAGAGTAGGACAGACCTCCCCAAATTAAATTATGTCACTTCCTAGATAAAAACCCTGTATCATAATTCCTAAAGACTCCTAGGAATTTTGAGGTATGCTCATGGGGGAAGGAACTGCCAACGTGTGATGTACTTACTGTAAAACCCCTTTCTTCACTGCAGCTACACCCTTGGGTATTATAATGCTGCAGATCTTTCCATCAAGGGTAGGAATCTATTTCTCCACCTCTTGAATCTGGGTTGGTCTTGTGACTTGCTTTGACCAAAAGAATAAGGAAGAAGCGATGTTGTGCAATTTCCACACCTAGACCTCAACAGACTTTGCAGTTTCCATTCTCTCACTGATCTTGTGACCCATACGGCCACCACTGCCATGTGAGGAAGCCCACGCTAGCCTGCTAGCTGAGGAGAGAGACACAGCCCAACTGCCATCTGTCTGCCCGGCCAACAGCCTGCCAATTGTCAGGCCAGCTTGCAGCCAACCCTCCAGCTGATCAGAGTGTATGAGTGAGCCAGCAAGGATCGGCCAAACCAATCCAGACCAGAAGACCTGCCCAACTAAGCCACAGAATGGGGAGCCAAGTAAACCGTGGCTGTTTAAAGCCACCGTATTTTGGGTTGGTTTGTTACACAGCAGTAGGTAAGAAAGACAGCAGAGAAAGCAATAAGAAAAACACAGAATTACCTCCGAATCAGTGAGTGTTAAAATACCAGTAAGGTCTTTCATGTGAGATGATATTGTCTTTCACGGCAAGAGACTACCAGTTATCTGCTGAAAGTAACTGGGAAAACCTTGAAGGAACCCTTCCTGTTGGTGGATCAGGTTTTCTCCAACTTGCTTTCCACTGTCTGATGTCATCCCCACTCCCTTCCCCCTTAGAATGAAGTAGGGTCTTAAGTCAGGGGCTTTGTTAGTTAACTGCCTAGATCTTGGCAGATTGTAGGTGCCAGACGAAGGGATGGCCGAAATAATGGATCCAGAGGAACGGTGGACATAGGTGGAGAGCAGGATCTGCTGATGGATCTAGCTCAGTCTCGAACAGCTCTCTGAAGTCTGATTCTGAGTGACGTTTAGAGGCTGAAGACACCCTAGGTCTCTGGAATGTACCTCAGCATTTTGATTTACAGGGATAACAAGACTCTCCAGGAATTCAGAAGGAGCCACCGAACCAAGATCAACTTGGAAATGAACCTGCCATTGCTAAGACATTCACTTTTGGGTATGCAAGAATAAAGAAAAACAATAACAACAAAACCTACATTAACCTAGTTGTTTTCATTGTATTTCTTGGCACTCACCATCCTCATACACCACACCTGTTTGATTTTGTTTTATTGTTTTGGTTTTGGTTTTTCCACAAAGAATGACAATAATCAAGTGAAAAATTTGTATGGATATATCTTTTTCCCAACTATTTTCTACACAAATAGGGCTTTTTGTTTTTTTTTAGAAACAGAGTCTCACTCTACTGCCCAGGCTAGAGTGCTGCAGCATCAGCCTAGCTCACAGCAACCTCAAATTCTGGGCTCAAGTGATCCTCCTGCCTCAGCCTCCTGAGTAGCTGGGACTACAGGCGTGCGCCACCATGCCCGCCTTATTTTTTCTATATATTTTTAGTTGGCCAATTAATTTCTTTCTATTTTTAGTAGAGACGGGGTCTCACTCTCAGGCTGGTTTCGAACTCCTGACCTTAAGCGATTCTCCTGCCTCAGCCTCCCAGAGTGCTAGGAGTAACAAATAGGCCTTAAACTACTGAAAATGTTTCAAGAAACAAACTGCTTGACATAGGCCTATTTTTTTTTAGTTACAACTAGAGATATAATTACCTCTGAATTCTACTTGTATCAAATTTACTCTAATACAAAAATGTAGTGGTGAAGGTAGGGAGAAGGTCCAGGAAGAAAGGGTTCTAGAAGAGCAAAGAGCCTCAGCCCTACATACATATTAACTGCTCAGAAGTCCTTGAGTTACGTCCCTACTACACTTTCCACAGCCTCTGCAGCCTGTTAGCACTGGATTCTGATCCTCAGGCATCAGAAGAAGCACTCCCAACACCCTAGCATCGTATCACTAAGAGAGAACATCTGCTTTTACAGAACACTCATTGACTGCTGACAAAACACATTTTTCATATTTATTTCATTGTTTTTTATAAGTCAAATATAAATGTGAAATAAAGCTATGCATTATGACTCTCTTTGAGATAAATGAGACTAATAATGACTATCAAAGCAGAGTTGTAAAGAACTGAACAGACAACATAGAATAAGCCATGCCTTAGAACCAGACAGACCTGAGTCTCATACCAGCTTTGCCACTGACTATTGACCTTGATTCAGTGACTCAACATAACTAAGCCTCAGTTTCTTCATGTGTAAAATAGAGCCCACAAAAGAACTTACCTTGTAAGACTAAAGACTAAAGAGAAAATGCATATAATGTGCTTCTTGAAACATTATTGTATCTATGTACTATAGCTGACAAATACATACATATTCCATTCAAATATTGTTCTCAAAGAAACAATAAAACCTGACTTTCATGTATAAAACAACCATTTCCCAAAAAAGGCTCTAAAATTCGTCAAATATTTATACAAAATTATTTTACAGCAATCTCAGTCAAAACTAAGCTTTATAAAGAAAGATTTTTTTTTTTTAAGACAGGGTCTCACTATGTCACCCAGGTTGGTCTTGAACTCCTGGCCACAAGCAATCATCTTGCCTCAGCCTCCTGTACCTGGCTGCAAGAACAATTTTTTTGCTTATCTTTCCCTGATACCATAACACTTCAAACTCTAGGCTGTGCCTACCTAACACCCTTTCCAACCCAGCCTCCCGCTCTACTCTGCTGGAAGAACTCCAATTTGGTTCTTGTGTCTGGTGTTCACCTTCCCTTTGCACAGGTGGATGTCCCCACCCACCCCTGTTCTCAGGGGTGAATCACAATGGGTATGCCAGTCACAATTCCTCTCCCCTTGCAGGTGACGAGGTATGAACAGGTGACCCACTCTTGACCAATGGGGACTAGGAGTTTGCTGGGAGGTTCTGGTACAGATTTTCCTCCATAGTAAAAACTACCTGGGAGGAGACTGAGCTCTTTTCC